ACAAAGCATGCCAAGTGAGCTAAACACGCATGCTTAATGAGCTAAAAAGCACTAAAATAGTTGTACATGACTTTACAGAGCGTTTGGTCCAATTTTTTAGCAATTAGTAGAAAATTTAATTTCAATCACATTTATGCAGTATAGAAAGTTAACTGCTGATTCCAATCAAAATTAGATTTACGAACTATTCAAAGTTGCTCAAAAATTGGACCAATATCCCTGTGTACATGATTTTGGGCCAAATTTTATAAAATTGACAAGAAGAGAATTTTTCATTTAAATATCTTTCTACTACAAATACGTGTACTACTTATGTTGCATAAAAAGCTTGAGCTGATTCCAATCAAAATTGTATTTTTATGAATTTTAAAGTTTCTCAAAAATCTGGTCAAAGTCACTGTACTACAGTACATAGTCTTGGGCCAAATTTTGCCAAAATTGAAGAAGAGATAATTCTCCATTGTAATATTTTTCTGATTTATGTTGCATAAGAAGTCTCAGCTGATTCTAATCAAAATTAAATTTTTTATTAATTTCAAAATTTCTATAAATTGGACCAATAAAAGAAGAGAGTTTTTCATTTTAATATTTTTCTGATGCATTACATGCATTCCAAATTATATTTTTAATGAATTTTTAAAGTTGCAAAAATTTGGTCAGAATTCCTGTACTATAGAATATAAATGGGATTTTGCCAAAATAAAAAGGAGCGATTTTCTATTTTATTTTTTCTGATATATATGTTGTATATACCATGACGATATGGGAATTGATATCCCAAGACCGAGGATACTTTGAATTGATATCACCCGAGGGCCGAAGGCCCAAGGGTGATATCAATTCAAAGTATCCGAGGTGGAGGGTGTATTGACCCATATTGGCATGTTATATATGTTATATTTCATCTATGAATCTCATTAATGAGATATATATATATATATACATGCAGTGATGATGTCTAGAAACTTTGAGCTAATGTACATGGTCTTTTGCCGAATTTGGCAAAATTGACAAGAAAAATTCTCAATTTTTATAATTTTTAAATGCATATACATGCAGATCTACTCATGTTGCATAAAAACTTGAGTTCATTTTGATCAAAATCAAATTTTTTACAAATTAGGAAAGAATTCTCGCTAGTCTTATGCATACAACAATATATAAATGAAACTAATTTATGCATAAGATTTACTAGGACATAGTCTAGCACTTTGTATGTGATAGGCATTTATGAATAAAAATGGCAATAATTAGATATATGTGTTTTATAAAATATAGTAAAATAATCTTACTGTAACTTGAGGGATTTGAGATTTATCTTCAAAGCAAATACAGATTTGTTTTGCTTGTTCATTGACTTGTTCAAAGAAACTGGTGATGTCATGAGTTTTGAGTCCTTAAAAAGATTGAATTTTTATATTTAGTGTACATAGCCAAACCTGCGTGAACATCTAACTTATGAAATGTTGATACTTCTGCAGTAGCAAATCCATCCAAGAGCTTAAATAAATCCTACAAGTAATGAAATTTATGATGAAACATAGTAAGAATACTTTGGTGTCAATATCATCATCTGAACTATTGGCAATTCTCCAAAACTCCTCTTTTGTATCATGTCTAGCTACAAGAACTGATAAGGATGGGGTTTTTTTTAATTCTAATCCTATCTTCTTTAATTCTGAAACAATTCTTTTTAAATCAACTGCTTCAGCACTCCCTCCAGCAGTTAATACTTCTTCATTTTCAAAAAAGTTTTTAACTTGAGATAACTGCTGTTGTAGTGACATATTAAGCCTGCTTCGTCCTTCAGATAAACAAAAATGAATTATGTTCAATGTAATGAACAATTTTTACTTTTATCATAAGTTAGTGTTTTCTTGAGTCTTTGCTCGTAACTTTTAAGCTCAGTTTCATAACGATAATTCCAAAGTTTTGACAGCATTCTTAACAGTGCAGTTTTTCCAACTCCAGTTTCTCCCTCAATAATAACTGGCATGCCACATTCTCTCCTTTCATGAATATTAATCATTTTTAATGCA